TCCTGATTTGGACCTTGAGATTTCAGTCCGGTGCTCCAATGTGGGTCTCTGTCTCTGTCTCCTTTCATCGCCTGATGAAGGTTAATATTCAGGAGGATGCCTATATGATTTTCTTTGGGTTCTCCTTCTTATTTAGCTTCTCTAAGAACCCGAATTATAGGCTCAATGTCCTTTATTTATGGCTAGAAACCAAATATGAGTGAGTACATCCCATGTTCCTCTTTTTGGGTCTGTATATTTCTTTATACAATTGTAAAACTTCTTACGTAACCAAAAATTAAAATCTGAAAAGGTGACGACTACTGACCTACCAAAGCAGATAGAAATACTGAATGTGGGAGCTGTTACTTTTACCTTATTAATATGAATAGCAAAAGATAAAACAGAATCAAAACAATTACATATGCATTTAATAGACAATAAATTGTAATGTTTGACAATATCCAAATTGTGTTTGTGTTTCTATTTTTAAAAGGTACAAACAACATAAAACTGACTTTGAAACAGTTCCACAGCAGCGCCCCATTGAGCTGCCTTGCCGAGTGACTGGGTGCCAGTGCAAGGCTTACCACTATGTTCCTCTGAATGGTACCCAGCCTGTTCGCTGCAGGTGCAAGCACTTTGCTGACCAGCACAGTGCTGCACTTGGCTTCGCATGCAATTCCTGTAAGTTCCATTTTATACACAGTTGCAGACTGTTTTTAGTTTCTTTTTTCTTCCCCTCCTCTCCCCTCCCCTCTCTTCCCCTCCCCTCCCTCCCTTCCTTCCTTTTGTTTTTTTTTTTGTTATTTGTTTTTCTGAGACAGGGTTTCTCTGTAGCTTTGGAGCCTGTCCTGGAACTAGCTTTTGTAGACCAGGCTGGCCTCGAACTCACAGAGATCTATCTGCCTGTCTCTGCTTCTCGAGTGCTGGGATTAAAGGTGTGTGCCACCACTGCCTGGTGATGAATTTTTGTAACAATTTATTTGGCTACAAAGCAAAATTCAATGGGTAGATACTCAGTTCCTGGTATGATTTATAATAATAAACTTCAGTGTCATAGAATTTAAATGATTTAAGTAATAGGAATAGATTTTAAAGAATTACTAGATACCACCTTATTAAAAGTTTTTTAAATTAAATTTAATGTGTCTGGGTGCTTTTCTTTGTCTACATGCATGTCTGCACCACATGTGTGCTTGGTGTATGTGGAGGCCAGAAAAGGGTGTCATATCCCTGGAACTGGAGTTATAGATGGTTGTAAGCTGCCGTGTGGGTGCTGGGATTAAACCCAGGTCCTCTAGAAGAATCTCTCCAGTTCTGATTAAAAGTTGTCAATAACAGGAGAGATGGCACCGCAGTAAAAAACACTGTTTTTGTAGAGGACCCAGGTTCAGTTCCAGCACCTACATGATGGCTTACAAAACACTGTGCACATTCGTACATTCAGGAAAAACACTCATATACATTAAAATAAATAAACCTAAAAAATGACAAAAATGTTTTTAATAATGAGAGTTTAGTCAATCTGGTTCCTTTTTGCTGTGGGGGTTGGTGTTGGGGATTGATCCAAGGTCTCACGAATGCTAGGCAAGCCCTCTACCACTGAGCTACACCCACAGCCCTAAATTAATTCTTTATAGACTTTTAAAAGAGGAATTTTGTAGGTAAAGAAGATACAACAACCTGACAGACATTTTATATTTTCTGACTACGGGTGCTCAGCCAGTAAATTCTACATGTAGCAGTTCCAAATCCAGAACAGACCTGAAGCAGTTCTGACTTCCAGTATTCTGGATAAGGATACTCAACCCAAGACACATTTTTACTGACAATAGCTGCAGTAAATGTGTTTCATCTGCCAAGAATGGAATTAGTTGCATAAAATTTAGGAGCTTTGGTTCCCATACACAGGTATAAGTGATGTGAGCAGGTAAAGATTTTACATTATATGTTCTGGTCTCCATCCCACTATGGCTACTTTAAAAAGTTTTTTGTGTGTGTGTGTGTGTGTGTGTGTGTGTGTGTGTGTGTTTGCATGCATGCATCTGGAGCTGGAGTTGCAGACAGTAGTGAGCCACCATGAAGGTGCTGAGAACTGAAGGACAGCGCATGCTTTTAACCCCTGAACCATCTCCAGCCTTTGTTTATTTCATTTTCTAGAGACAGGGTTTTGCTGTGTAAACTAGTCTGGCCTGAGAGTTGTGATCCTCCTGTCTCAGCCTTCCAAGTGCTAAGCTTCCAGGAGTTCACCACAGTGCTCAGCTTTAGTGTAGCTTTTGAGGAAGAGGGTCTGCATTTTCGGGCACTCAGGTTTTTAACTCAGTGTCTTTTGGGCCCAGTTGGTGTTTGAAACATTTCCCCTTCAGTGTGTACTTAGCCACTTCAGCATCTGTAGAGTAGTCGTGACAGGAGATAAGAGGTGCAGGCTTGAAGGACCTACCCCTAGCTGGCTTTGCCTAAGATACATGTCTTAGGGTGGGCAGCTTAGCATTTATTAACGGTTTACCCTTTGTGTCTTAATTCAGGCTCCAAGTGTTCAGGCTTCCACAGCTGCTTCACTTGTGCCTGTGGCCAGCCGGCATATGCCCACGACACAGTGGTGGAAACACGGCAAGAAAGGTTGGCTCAGGGCAAACCAGTAGGACGGGATGTTCCTTATGCGGCAATGGGAGGTTTAACTGGTTTCAGCTCATTGGCAGAAGGCTACATGCGCTTAGATGACAGTGGCATTGGTAAGTGAAAGCATCTGAAGTGTGAACTTGGCACAAGGTGCACTAATAGTAATGAATCCTTACTTTTTTTTCTTTCCTGAGACAGGGTTTCTCTGTGTAGCGCCCCCTGGCTGTCCTGGAACTAACTCACTTTGTAGACCAGGCTGGCCTTGAACTCACAGAGACCCACCACCTGCCTCTGCCTCCCAAGTGCTGGGATTAAAGGTGTGCACCATCACCATCTGGCCTTATTTAGCATTTTATCGTCATATTTTTTTTCCAGAAAATTTTCCTTATTTGATTTGTGTTTTACAAAAATTGCTGTACTATACAACGTATTGTTATAGAAAACTTACAAAACACAAAAGATTATTCTGTCTGCCATACTTAATCCAAACCTGAGTCCATCCATGTTCCTGTTTATTGAAGAAGCTGGATGACACTTTTGTTTGATATGATAGAGTTACTTGTTACTTTATTATGTGAAACTTGCTATTGTTATGTTCCTGCTCTTTCTCCTCCCTCCTCAGTTTTCCTTTTCTTTTTTTTCATCTTTTCTCATTGACCCATTCTTCCTGTTTGTGTTCATCTGTCAAAATTATGATACTTTTTATATATTTTCTATTTTACATAATTATATAATCACATAAACAAAATTTTCTGTAGATTGAATTACATGATTTTCTTAGGCTCATGCAACAGCTTCAGAAAACCCAAAGCAAGTACAAAATTGATGATAATGAAGGTGAAAGCTTTGTAGTGCTCTCAGTTGTTCCAACCACTTCTCATTATCGTTTATTAAAGTGAGTCTGTGGGGGTAAGTTAAGATTTCTGCTTTACTGATGAGCAATGGATATACTACATTGGCTGTTCTTCATCAGTTAGTAGGACTGGCTGCAGCCTAGAGATTGCTCTGAACTCCTGGGTCTGCCTCACTCTTGTCTGTTTCTGTATAGGCACCTTATTATTTTCATTACTGTGGGCTCACAGTAAATAAATGAATTAATTTACGATTTAATTTTACTACTTCAGAATATTCCTGGCCTATTTTTAAAATTTTTCAGAAATTTGGCCTAATTTTTTAATAAAAACATCACAATATTTTAATTAAAAGCACATTGAATATGCAGATTAATATAGAAAGAATTGATAGTTTATAATATTTTATCTTCATTGATTTGTGCTCTTCTGTGCATACAAGTAGAATTCTGAAATTATTTTTCTAGAAAGCCCACACAATTCTTATTTCTATTTAATCTCTAAATTTTTTTTCTTTTAAACACTGCTTGGCCCATTAGTTTTAACCTCTCATTGGCTAGCTCTTACATATATCAATCTAACCCATTTCTAATATTCTGTGTAGCACCACGAGCTGGTTTACCAGGAAAGATCTTAACCTGCGTCTGTCTGGAGTGTAAGCAGTGTCATGGCGACTGCTTGACTCAGCTTCTATCTCCCAGCATTCTGTTCTGTCTACTCCACCTACCTAATTTTCTGTCCTATCAAAGGCCAAGCAGTTTCTTTATTAATTAACCAATGAAAGCAACAGATAGACAAATGACCTTAACCAATAGACAGATGACCCTTCATCATTTCCCTTTTTTCTGTTTAAACAAAAAAGAAAGGCGTTCACTTTGACATAGTAAAATTACATATAACAAAACAGTTATCAAGCAAGAATTACAGTTACAATATTTATATATATTTTATCTTTTATCATAACTAAGGAAAACTATAACCATCCATTTATTTTTCAACTCCATCAAAGACTCCAGAAGGATATAATATTACCTAAGCCAACAAGAAGTACAAAGCTTTAGAAATGACAGAGACATCTTCGCTGTCTGGACAGTCACCCAAAGTTCTTTTGTACCGTTGGGGCATCCATCTTTGGCCTACAGGCCCATAGTTTCCAGCCGACATTTCCATGAAGCAGGAAATTTTAAAGACAGTTCAGTCATTTTCTGCTGTGTCCTGCAGAATGTCTCGCAGACTCTTTCATGAATCAGGAACCCCGAAAAACCATCTCACCTTTAGGCAAGTTCAGCAGTCCTCTCTCTGCGGGCTCTTTGTGTCCAGTTTATGCATTAGTTCAGGCAAGAGCAGTTTCTTGCCCAAATGGCTATCAAACTCCATAAGGAACCTCTTTGATGCCCATCTTCCTCTTGAAGTAGATTGGTGCTGCCAGGAGCAGACGTGTCTCATTGCCATGAAAAAACCAGGAAAGATCTTAACCTGCGTCTGTCTGGAGTGGGAGAATCATGGCGACTCTTAATCTCTAAAATTTTTAAAAGTTACACTTGTGCATTGTGTGTATGTATGTGTAGGCGCACATCCATGAGAACACATATGGAGCCCAGACAACAACTTTTTGGAGTACCTCTATCGTGTGGAACCTCAATCTTGGGAGTTTTAGATAGATTTTCAGTACAGTTTGCAAATAATGATATTTTTGCTTCTCCCCGGGTGCTTCCAAATCTTTTTATTAATAGTTTTACAGCTGTCCTGAATAGTGGTGGTGAATATTTGTCTAATATTTATTTAATTATCTAATTATTTAATATTTATCTAATATTTATCCCTCAAGTCTGCAGTGTAAAGCAGTCTTGCCTTCTTATTCTTTTTCTATTTCTGTGATAAGACATCATTTCCTAGGCAACTAACTTTGAAAAGAAAGTGTTTAATTCGGGCTTATGGTTCCAGAGGGTTGAGTCCATGGTGGGGGAACGAAGGCCTGACTGTAGGAATAGCTGAGAGCTTACATCTGAGCCACAACTAGGAGGTAGAGAGCTAACGGGGGATGACATGGGCATTTGAAACCTCAAAGCCCAACCCCAGTGACACAGCTCTTCCAACAAGGTCACACACCTGCTAATATTCCTTAGACGGTTTCATCAACTGGGAACACATTCAAACATGAACCTATTGGCCATTCTTAGTCAACCACCACAACCCATGAGGGAGGGGTGGTAAGGGAAAGTGGGTGAGGAGAGGAGATCCAGAAGTTTCTGCCCTGTTGAAGGACCACCCAGGGCTTCTGCTCACAGCCATGTAGAGTTCTAGACAGTGTTGCTCTTTGGCTGGGACTTAATTCTTTTGTGATTTAGAAGCAGTCCGTAATTCCTAGCTCTCAGGAGAGTTTGACAGACAGCTGAGCTGTGAGATGATGGGTCTGCCATGCAGTCTATTGTAGTGGGGCTAAGGTGACCCCAGAGCATAGCTGAAGGTGGGTCCCCATCACTGGAAGATTCGGTATGGGAAGTGACAGGCACTGGACCCTGGTAGAGTCTGCACTTGCAGTGAGAGTAAATGGGAGCCCATGAGGCCCTGTCTTATGCCAGCTCTTACCACTGGAGACCAGGAACCCATGCAGCAAGTGAGGCTGTATAGACCCACTTGGACTGAGCCTCCCATGTCCCCACTGTCACAGGAGGGCATGGTGGAGATGGGCAGGGTTAGGGATTGGAAGAATGAGTGCTTTTTCTGAGCTGTGTGCTTGAGGAGCTAAGACTGGCTTGTCAGCCAGTTAGACTGAAAATTCATTTCCAAGGAGGTGGTTTCTGAGGAAGGATGGTTTGATCTATTTCTCTGTAGCTTCCTTCTTTTTGTACTCTTTAAACTGGCCTAACGCCTCACTTCCTAAGTATGGGATTATAGACATGGACTACTTGGGCAGCTACAATTCACAGGACTTCTTCCTGGCAGTTCTGCTGATGTTCTAATCTATATAAATGATTTGCATCTATCTTTATGGAGAGAGATTGATTTCCATCCTCCGGATCTTCTGTTCCCAGGTGCACCCTCAGTTGCAGTTTTGGACTCCCCAGTTTCAGCCATGGACCACCCATTCCTCAGAGCCTTGCAAATGCCATCTACTTCTGCTTCACAAACACTAACGGATGGTAATGAAGGTAAAAGAAGTATTTTTGGGTGTACAATATAACAATATGGAGCTTTGATGTGCTTCCCAGGCGACAGACCAGGGTAAGGACTGCACCAGTGTCTAATTTAGTGAGCCAGTGAGTTTTACGTGGTGAGGAGCAGGGATAACTCAAGAAAGCTGCTTTACTGGAAAGACCCCAACTCAGGACAACCAAAGTTGGGGATCTCTTCCACAGTCTGGCTTTCTCTGCCCACAGCAACTGTTTACTCCTGTTTTTTACAGCTGGGAGAATCTTGGGAATTCTCCTTTTTCTCCAGTGGTGGCCTTTTGTTTCCCTGTGAGGCTGTAAAGGAAAAAAGCCTCCTCCCCCCCTGCAGGCAATGTTTCAGTTTGGAAGGAATGTTGCAATTCCCAGGAACCTGGGTCTATGCGTTGAGTCCAACCCCACTCCAGACACACACACTCACACAGACACACATAAAAACGATTTTAAGTTCCTTTCAGAACACTAAACCAACTATTGGTTAATTTTTTTCACTTTGTTCTAGTTATTTTATTTGCAGATGATGGTTACACATACATCAGATGATTTTTTAAATCAAATTTACTTCTTATAGGCTTCAGGGAATAATGCTATTTTCTATCTATCTATCTATCTATCTATCTATCTATCTATCTATCTATCTATCTATCTATCTATCTATCTATCTAAGATTTCTGTCTCCTCCCCGCCACCACCTCCCATTTCCCTCCCCTCCCCCAATCAACTCCTCCTCTCTCATCAGCCTGAAGAGCAGTCAGGGTTCCCTGCCCTGTGGGAAGTCCAAGGACCTCCCACCTCCTTCCAGGTCTAGTAAGGTGAACATCCAAACAGCCTAGGCTCCCACACAGCTAGTATGTGCAGTAGGATCAAAACCCAGTGCCATTGTTCTTGACTTCTCAGCAGTCCTCATTGTCCACTATGTTCAGCGAGTCCGGTTTTATCCCATGCTTTTTGCACAGAAGTGGAAAAAATTGACTTTATGAAAGCAATATTGGTTAATTTTTACAAAATAAACACCATGAAAGATGGTTAAACTATTTTAGTTCTGGAACTTTCAAAGCAGTTAGTATCATTTCTATGGTTGCCTATAGACAGCCTCAATAGTGTACAGTGCTGTATATTATCTCATAAGGTATAATGTGGATTCTAGTTACATCCTAAAAATAGTTGGAAAATAAGTGTATTTGTGTGTGTGTGTGTGTGGTGAGTGTGCATGTGGAGGTCAGAGGACTACTTGCTGTGTGTGTGTGTGTGTGTGTGTGTGTGCGCGCGTGCACGCGTGTGGAGTTCTGAGGACAACTTGCTGAAGTTGGTGCTTTCCTTCCAACACATGTATCCTGGGAACTCAACTTAGGTTGGTGACAAGTACCTTTACCTATCAAACCATCTGTTGTTCCTCTCTTTTACTTTCTGATACAGCGTTGTAGCCTAAAGTAGCGTGGATTGCTATGTAGGTAGCCCATTTGAACTCCTCCTGCCTCTCTCAGTGACTTGGATTCAGGTGTAAGCTCTGTGCCTAGTTCTAGGCTACTCAAATGGAATAGCCGTATGGTGTTGTTTAATGGGAACCAATTGAATATTTAGAGAATGTTTGCCATGGAAAATCACTTTTGTGATGGAATTCTTGTAGAGAAAGAATTTAATATGAGACCACTAGGTCATTTCCGGTTTGAATAATAAACTATTATTCCTTGGTATAAGGGAGTTCTGCCTCCTCCCCATCTCCTTCTGGGGGGGGCACGTAATGTTATAAATACACAACTTGAATTTTTCTGTCACGTTACTAGGTCCAAGCACTCAGATTTCTTCCTTAAGGAAACCTGAAGAGGATGATATGGCTTACTTTGAAAGGCGATACCAGGAAAGGGTAAGTGTTTGCGGAAATCTACTTGCATAAGGCTTTACTTGAAACACAGATACCACTGAAGAGTCAATTGAGTATGTGCAGCATCACTGAAAATAGTTTGTAAAGGGTTAACTCACAGCTGGTACTGGGCTTTAAGGCTTCCTTAGAACAATTCAGATAGAAATAGCACCAGTGAGTAAATGGACTCATCTACCCAGCTGGCTTGTGAAACTCATAAATATATTGATTAAATACAGAAGTAAAATAAACATCCACCAACTGCATATTTGTTAATTATGTGTATTGAATTTTTTATACATGATTTAAAGTTTTTTACATAAGTAATTGTCAGGGGAGAGGCTGGTTAATGAGTGCAGGGTTGAAGCTGGGTAGGAGGAGCACATTTTAATGTTCTGTAGCTTACCAGGATGCAGCAACTGTACTTCAAAATGGCTAGCAGAGAGAATTTGAATGGCTTTAAAACAAAGGAGTGGTATATGTTTGAGGTAATAGATAAGCCAACTACCTTAGTGGAATTATTAGACGTTTTATGCTGATATTGGACCACATTGCAGCTCGTCAGTATACATAATTAACTAAAAACTGCACATAGATGAGACTCTCCTTTTCCTTTCTGTTGTCCCTCACATGATGCCTAGCTCAGTTTGCCATGAAATGGAGGATCTAGAAGTAGAATATTAAATAAACTCCATGCACGAGCACAGAAGGTGGAAAGAGAACAAGATTACCTCAGCTGCCCTCATGAGGAATCCCGAAGTTGGGGGGCAGGTTCTGAATTTGGGAAAGGGCATCCTGGACACAATTTAGGCCAGAGATAAATGGGGGACCATTTTGCAGTGATAGAAACGATCTCTATCTGTGCTATAATCACTTATCATTTGTGACTGTATAAGTCTAAATTTAAATAAAATGAAAACTGAAACAATTTTCCTTAGCTACACGAGCCATGCTTAAGTTCTCAATAGCCACAGTGTCTAGCAGCTCCCGCTGGGACAGCGAAGATACACCTCCTTTCTACCACTGCAGAGTTCTTTTGCAGCGCTCTGTCCGGGTTACTTTAACAAAATAGCGTAAACTAAGTAGCTTATAAACTACTTACTAAGTACAATAGAAGCTTACTAAGTTTTTGAGGCCAGGAAGTCTTAAGTGAAGATATTTGCAGATATCTTCCGGTCCATATTTGGTACCTTCTTGGTGTGTGGTTGTGAACGAGGTAAGGCAGCTAGCTCTCTGGCATCTTTTTCTTTTTTTTTTTTTAAATTGGTTTTTGTTGATCTCTACATTTTTCTCTGCTCCCCTCCCTGCTTTTCCCCTTCCCTTCAACCCTCTCCCAAGGTCCCCATGCTCCCAATTTACTCAGGAGATCTTGTCCTTTTCTGCTTCCCATGTGGATTAAATCTATGTATGTCTCTTATAGGGTCCTCATTGTTGTCTAGGTTCTCTGGGATTGTGATTTGTAAGCTGATTTTCTTTGCTTTATGTTTAAAAACCACTTATAAATGAGTACATGTGATAATTGTCTTTCTGTGTCTAGATTACCTCACTCAAAATGATGTTTTCTAACTTCATCCATATGCCTGCAAAATCCAAGATGTCATTTTTTTTTGTGCTGTGTAGTACTCCATTGTGTAAATGTACCATATTTTTCTTATCCATTCTTTGGTGGAAGGGAATTTAGGTTGTTTCCAGGTTCTGGCTATGACAAACAATGCTGCTATGAACATAGTTGAGCACATGTTCTTGTGGCACATTTGAGCATCCTTTGGATATATACCAAAAAGTATTATTTCTGGGTCTTGAGGAAGGTTTCCTAATTTTTTGAGAAATCGCTACACTGACATCCAAAGGGGCTGTATCAGCTTGCATTCCCATCAGCAATGCAGAAGGAACACCCTTTACCCCACAACCTCTCCAGCGTAAGTTGTCATCAATGTTTTTGATCTTGGCCATCCTTACAGGTATAAGATGGAATCTCAGAGTTGTTTTGATTTGCATTTCTCTGATGCCTAGGATGTCGAACATTTCCTTAAGTGTCTTTCAGCCATTTTAAGATTCCTCTGTTGAGAGTTCTCTGTTTAGGTCTGTACTCCATTTTTTTAAAATTGGATTATTTGTTCTTTTGATGGCCAATTTCTTGAGTTCTTTGTATAGTTTGGAAATCAGACCTCTGTCTGATGTGGGGTTAGTGAAGATCTTTTCCCATTCTGTAGGCTGTCGTTTTGTCTTGTTGACTGTGTCCTTTGCTTTACAGAAGCTTTTCAGTTTTAGGATGTTCCATTTATTGTTTCTCTTAGTGTCTGTGCTGTTGGGGTTATATTTAGGAAGTGGTCTCCTGTGCCAATACGTTCAAGTGTACTTCCCACTTTCTCTTCTGTGAGATTCAGTGTGGCCGGCTTTATGTTGAGGTCTTTGATCCATTTGGACTTGAGTTTTGTGCATGGTGATAGATATGGATCCTTTTTCATTCTTCTAGATGCTGATTTGGCATCTTTTTCATTTACACCAACTGCACTCCTGAGTGCTTGCCTTCATGGCCGACCTACTGCTGAAAGTTCACACCTCCTACTGTCATCTGCCAACATATGACTTTGGCAGGGGTACAAGCACTTGGGGGCATAGCTAAGGGAAACACATCACTGAAAGCCTTCAAGGTGAGTTGGAGTTAAAAGACTGTTTTTATAGCACTATTGGGGGCAGGATTTATAATCCAATCAATCTTTATTCTTGGGACACATACTTACAGGTTAATTTTAGTTTTTCTGGGTTCTAAACCGCCTGTCCCTCCCTGAATGGGCCTGGATAGCGCTGGCTGTGTTGAAAGCATGGCAGCGGCATTTGTTTGCCGGCAGGTAGAGTGGAACTCGTATTTATGAATGTTTTCTTACTTATAAGTAAACCTTCATTAATGACTTATGAGATGCAGTTTAAAACTTTCCAGTCCAGGTGATGAACTGTTTCCTGAGACAGTTTTCATACTCCTTGTAGTGGAGTTAATGGAGTAGTAAAGTAAGAAGTCCACACTGAAGTGCTCTCCCTTGAGCCGGCATTTACTCCAGAACCACTGAGCAAAAGGGATGAGTAGGAAGCTGTGTTGGATGTTTCAGGGCTTTGTTCAAGAGCACAGTGTGTTGCCTCTGTCCTTTGCTAATTTTTTGGAACACTGGTATGGGGACTCTTAATGGTTAGTGGGAGTTGGCATTGACAGGTGGAGCTTTTGTGGTAATGTGGTTTACTCTCTGCTTTCAGAGATTATTGGTAAGGTTTTTACTTTATATGTCAGGTTAAATTGTTTTCTTCTGCTATGATAAGACTTGTTTTTTTTTCCCCAAGAAAGCAGAATTTTATTTATGAAACTAGTACCGAACACTCACTAGGACAAGATGTTTTATTTGTGTTGGGACATTTAAAAAAGCAGGACAGGGTCTGGGAAAGAGACAGCTTGCCTTTTAGCTTGCTAAATAGATATTTGATAACTACTGTTTGTCTTTTAATAATTCTCTTTCTTAAGTTTAATTTTTTTTGAGCAGGGTCTTGTTATATGCTGATACCTTGAATTTACCATCATCTGGCCTCAGCCTTTAGCATGTTGGTGGTTCAGTGTGTGCCACTTTGCCTGGCTTTAGTGGCTTCTTTGGCCTTTTGCTTTTGTTTGGCATACTTTCTGCATTTCCCCTTCTTTCTCTTATTACTAAGAACTAACACTTAGTCTTAAATGAGATGAAAAAGGAGTAGGATTTGTTGAGCACTTATCTATAGATTGATTTTTAGGGAGGGTTGGGGGAACAGGGTATTAGGTAGCTCAGTGTGACATCACACTCAATATGTTTGAGAGACTGACTTTAAACTTCCGATCCTCCGGCCTCCATTTCCTAAATTCCGGAATTGCAGGCATATGCCACCATGCCTAATATATTAATTATTTTTTTTATTTCTGTGATAAATGTGATAAAACATCATGACCAAGGCATTTTAAAAGAAAGTAATTGGGCTTACAGTTCTTGTAGTGTGATTTCTAATTGGTCTTAATAATAAAAACCCAGAGTCAGATATTAGGGGGTAAAAGTTGAAAGATCAGAGAAGCAGTGCAGCCAGCCACTAGATCTTATATCTACAAAATCCTCAGTCCAAATGGGTATCCTGTGTCTACAAGTCCTCAGACTGAATATGGTGAGGTGAGCTCCTGTCTCCTTCTCCTCTCTCTGACCACCCATATCCCTTTCTGTCTCTACTTCCCTAATGCTGGGATTAAAGGTGTGTGACTCACAAGTACTGGGATTGATTAAAGGTGAAAGCCACCACTGCCTGGCTCTGTTTCTCTTTAGACTGGATCAATTCTGAGTAGCTCAGGGTGGCCTTGAACTCAGAGAAATCCAACTGCCTTTGTCTCCCGAGTGCCAGGATTAAAGGTGTATGCCACCACTGCTTGGCTTCTATGGCTGACTACTGTGGCTAGCTCAGCACTCTGATCTTCAGGCAAGCTTTATTTGGTAGATCACAAAGAAAATATCACTTTTCCTCCTTTTTGTCTAAAATAAAAAAGAAAGTTATAACTAATATAAAAACTACATACAATAAGTACAATAACTATATGTAATATATAAGGCAATAATTACATTAACAATGTCTAGTCCATTAGCATTTGACAAATTCAGAGAAAATACTCTGTTATCTATCCTATTTTGGTGATCCCAAGAGGTTGTACCTAATTCATTTTGTACTCTAACTTGTATTACCACATTTCTAAATGTCCTAGACAGGATCAGCAGGAGGGGAGATGGGGATGGAGAGAAGGATAAACAAAATACACATGCAAATGCCATTATGAAACCTATGTCTTTACACGATAATTAAAAACAACAAACAAAAACTAGCCTTTAATCCCAGCATTTGGGAGGGAGAGGCAGGTGGATCTCTGAGTTCTTAGCAAGCCTGGTCTACAGAGTGAGTTCTAGGACAGGACAGCCAGGGCTACACAGAGAAACTCTGTCTTGAAAAACAAAAACCAAACCAAAACAATCCCCCCAAACCCACAGAAAGACTAACGAGAAGGTCCTATGATGCTGCCTTTGAATGGGGTGTCCTTTAGAGCCCTCCCATGGCCTGACTGACAGCCTGTGAGTGGTAGGAAGGCATGGTGACTGAGTGCGGTGCCAGCCAAAGAGGGGGAAGGGAAAATGGGGAAGAGAGATTGTTGTTGTTGTTGTTACTTGGATTTTATTACTGAAAATTTTGTCACTTGTAATTCAATGGATAGGATAAACTGGTCTTACCAGGTTCCAGCTCCCCTTGCTCCTTTAGTCTCCCCTGGTCTCTTCTCCTCTTCTGTTTCCTCCTGTTCTGTCCTGTCCTTTCTCATTCCCTTTCTGCTGGAAAGTGTTCTGCCACTGAGCTACACCGTCCTCCTGACTTTTTTTTTTTTTTGGTTTCTTTTTTAAAAAAATACTTATTTTTTGAGAATTTAATACATGTATATAATTTATTTTGCTCATATTCAATCCCTGTTCCATTTCCCCTTGGTTTCTTGGTATTGTGCTATCACTTAAGCTCAAAGGTCCTGTTTTCACTTTGGGCTCTTTATTTTTTTGTTTGTCTCCTTGAAGTTTTTTTTTTTTAATATTTATTTATTATGTATACAATATTCTGTGTGTATGTCTGCAGGCCAGAAGAGGGCACCAGACCTCATTCCAGATGGTTGTGGGCCTCCATGTGGTTGCCAGGAATTGAACTCAGGACCTTTGGAAGAGCAGGCGATGCTCTTAACCACTGAGCCATCTCTCCAGCCCCCTGTCCCCTTGAAGTTTGAGGCTGAGATGGTGTGCCTGGGAGTTGTCCTGAGTGGCCGTGACGAAGAAGTAGATGTGCCTGTGTTATATGGAGTCCCTGCTGTCATGAGAAGGTTCATGTTTCTCAGTTAGGCAGCTGCCACTTAGGGTCCCCACTCTGGGATCCTAGGAACTCACCCTGAACGGTGCCTGTGCGTCCCAGATGATCCTGTTGAATTAGGTTTATTCTGTAACTGCAGGAAACAGACAGGCCAGGTGCACTGTCAGGATTTTAAGCATTCAGAAATACTCCAGTAACATTTCAGATTTATTTTTATCAAGGCAATATTAGTTTATATATTCTTATCAAATTTCTGAAAAGCTAAAGCCGGTCATTTGAAGAATGCCGTCATGCCCCATTAATGATCAGATTTTGGTGTTAGTGTTTAACAGTTAATAACTCTGGCATGACTATGCTAAATAAGGCATGGCTAACAAGGTATGATATGTGTAGCTTTATTTAGGATAATTTAAAAATTTTATCAATAAATGTTTTAAATTTACAGATAAAAATGGAAAAATCTGCTAAGCAGAAAGGAAAAGCTCTGTTGCCACCAGGTACAAAACCTTCTTGAAGTCTGTTGGACAAGCCACCTTCTGGATGCATCTCTATTTATTATCTCTCGATCTGTGTACGTTCTTATTGTATAAATATGTCTTTTTGAATTTTGTTTATCTTCATTGAAACAAGTGAAATGAAATTATTTTTGTCAGAATTCCTGACGTAGCACTTTCTATGCTTTTTAAATGTGGTCTACTATGTAGCCCAGGCTGGTGCTGAAGTCACAGTACTCCCGCCACAGCACACGTATGCTTTCTCTCTCTCAGCGAGTTATATATGTTATTTTCATATTATTAGAACCCTGAAACTAGGTAAATATTTTTAGCTTATTATATTTAACTTTTGTAGGCTACCTATAAAATTAAGGATATTATTAAAGGTTTAAAAAAAATAAACACGGGTCAGTTTTTCATTCAAAATGGAAAGTTACAACCATTAGGTTTTACTTTTTAAGCTTTGGAATGTTAACTTATTTTAATTAAAAATTATATTTTAATTACAAGTCTATTTCTAATAAAATTACTTGATTTTTTTACAGTCTTACAAACTTGTCCATTGGGTATAGGTGTATTGTACACCTGCAGTGAAGCGCGCGCGCACACATACACGCACACGCGTGCACACACACACACACCTGTATGTAGTAAAAATTTAATTAAAAAATAACCTAAGGCAGTTGTATGACAAATGACACTTGTCCTTCTCACACCCCATTCCTGCTACCTTACACTGACTCCAGATTAATAATGAGGGTCAGGTCTCACTGCACCCCATTGGGGAATAGTCTTTCCTTGAGGAGAATGCTATGTCCTGAATGGGACTGCAGATTCTGGTCTAAGAGTGGTGACTGGAACCCAGGAAACATGTCTGAGAGCAGATCTTGAGAATATGCTGGATCAAAGAGCGGGATGAAAAGAGAATATGAAGTAAGGTAGGAAAGGATGATGTGGAAGCACTCATAATGATAATGCGATTTGGACTTTGACAAAGGTGCCTGCAGTTGGCCCTAAGAGACTGTAGGGATGGTGCACAGAAGATATGGAATGCCCATATGGAATTCAGAAGTTGTTTGACATAGTACTGAATAAAGGGGTCAGAAACTCAAGGATGTGAGAGTGTTGAAAACAGAGAAGCAACGTGGCTGTAGTGGATAAAGAACTTGTCATGGCTGAGTAGGGCTGGTGCTCTGCCTGCCAGGAGGCAAGGACCAACGGGCCTCAAGGTGCTGACCCTGCAAGGTCACCCTGGTTCTGGGCAAGAACAGGGTATCTGAGATGAGTCTCAGTGGTAGTTAGTATTTATGGTGCTTCAGAAACCAGGAGCCTTGAACTAGACCAATGGCTCGTTGTCATAAGAATTTGCATGTAAAGCTGTTTGGGCAAACACACACACACATACACACACACACACAGAGTGACACACTGAAGTTTGCAATTACAGTTCAATGAATACATGTGTGATGGAGAGATGGGAAAGATGGCAGAATGGAGTCACATGCCAGGCGGGGCCAGGCGGGAATAGGCAGAACTACAGACACGGCAATGGTGACAGGTGTGGGAACATGGTACCTTCTTGCTGGCAGGGTGGTGTGCAGCAGCTTGGAGCTCAGGCAAGTGCTGCCCAGTCACTCCATTTCCTTGGCTCTGAGCAACGGCAGAATGTCCGAGGTGGAGAATGATTCATTTCTGGATTGGGCCTCCTCGAAAGACCTCCACGGTCTGTGCTGCTGCCAGAGACTGAGTTGTCTGTGGTCCATGTTGTCTCAGGCCATGTTGATGTCCATGATCCTTGCTGCTGCTGGAAACCATGTGGAAGTCCATGATCTGTGCTGCTGCTGGCTGTTCTGCACAACAAAACTTCTTTTGCAGTGGCATGATTGACTGCAGAATGACTGAGAGTGAGAGACACTGAAGGCTTCTGTGATATCCCCCCCCCCAAACAATAACAACAACAAACCCAGTCTAGACAGGAAGCCATTGAAGAGAGTCCTTAAAAATTGTCATAGGGATTCTGAAATCTGAAGTGTAGCTCTTCCACACTTGATGACTTCTGTGGGGGTGGGGTAGAGCTGGGGAAGGACTCAGTTATGTGTGTGTGTGTGTGTGTGTGTGTGTGTGTGTGTGTGTGTGTATAGAGTTTCCTGGCTATCCTGAAACTTACTTTGTAGACCAGGCTGGTCTCAAACTCACAAAGATCTGCCTGCCTCTGCTTCCCAAGTGCTGGGATTAATTAAAGGCATGTTCCATCACTACCCAGTGGACTCAGTAAGTGATGGAGGAAGGTCATTGGCTAATAAAGAAACTGGCTTGGCCCATTTTATTGGTTAGAACATAGGTGGGTGGAGTAAACAGACTAGGATGCTGGGAGGAAGAGGAAGTGAGCTCAGACTCGACAGCTCTGCTCTCAGCAGCAGAGGCCCTGCTTTGCTCTCCTTGGTACACGCGATGAAGCTCTGACCCAAGATGGACGTAGGCTAGAATCTTCCCGGTGAGCGCACCTTGGGGTGCTTACACACATTATTAGAAATGGGCTAGTCCAGGTGCAAGAATTAGCCTAGAAGAGGCTAGATAGAAATGGGCCAAGCAGTGTTTAAATGAATACAGTTTGTGTGTTGTTATTTCGGGCATGAGCTAGCAGGCGGCTGGGGTGCTGGGGACGCAGCCCCCCGCACCCAATTACAAGTAAGGGGCTGGTTACTAGGAGTTTGATCATGCTTCAATGAATATATGGGCTACACAAATTGGACTTGGTGTATGTTTTCTTTTATTGGAGAGGGTCCAAGGGTGGGAGGGCGGACCTGGGGGGACTGGGAAATGAGTGTTATTGTGGTGTATTATGTGAAATTCCAAAATCAAAAAATTATGTTGGAAAAGTAACCTGGAGAAGCTATAGTCTGAATCTTCTCTAGGAAGGCCTGGATGATACTCACCACTACAGTCTTATGCAATAGCTGAGAATGTCCTGGAAACAACTCAGCAGGTCTGACCAATACAATTAATTTTTTATTTTTTTATTTTTATTTTTTGGTTTTTCGAGACAGGGTTTCTCTGTGGCTTTGGAGCCTGTCCTGGAACTAGCTCTGTAGACCAGGCTGGTCTCTAACTCACAGAGATCCGCCTGCCTCTGCCTCCCGAGTGCTGGGATTAAAGGCGTGTGCCACCATCGCCCGGCTGACCAATACAATTTAGAATTAGTGGAAGATACTGCCCTTATCCTGGACTCCGAGCAGATTGATAATGGAATATCAAGTGGGGGAATCTGACTGTCAGAGGCTTAATGTAACTAAATGGGCAACAAGGCGTGAGTTCGATTAAGTAAGTTCACGATACAAAGGGAAGGCAGTTAAGATATCTGCCATGTATAGCTACTCCTGCCTCATCTCTCAAATATAACAAACCCAAATCCCAAACTGGTAACTGGCAAGCAGAAGGCTCATGTAAGTTCTGGTAATGAATACAGAAAACAACAAAAAACCAAACTAAACAAACAAACTCCACAATTTCTTACCTACTTACCAGTTCCAAAGCAGTTCAGTCCTGGTTCTAGGAGGAAGGGAGATTCCAGATCCCTTCAGGAAGTGTCTTAGTTAGGGTTTTTATTGCTGTGACAAAACACCAGGACCATACAGCAAGTTGTGGAGGAAAGGGTTTATTAGGCTTACACTTCAGCATTGCTCTTCAAAATGAAGGAAGTCAGGACAGGAACTCATACAGGGCAGGAACCTGGAGGCAGGAGCTGATGCAGAGGACATGGAGGTTGCTGCTTACTGGCTTGCTTCCCTGGTTTGCTCAGGCTGCTTTATTTTTTAAAACAATATTTTATATACCAATCCTAGTTCCCCCTCCCTTCCCTCTTCCTACACACCCTACTTTCCCTCTATCCCACCACCCATTTACTCCTTAGAGAGGGCGAGGTCTCCCATGGGGAGTCAACAGAGTCTGTCACATCTTGTTGAGACAGGACTAAGGCCCTTACCCCTGTATCTAGGCTGAGCAAGGTATCCTTCCAAAGGGAATGGGCTCCAAAAAGCCAGTTCATGCACTGGGGATAAATTCTGGTCCCACTGCTAGTGACCCCCACAAACTACCCAAGCTACACAACAGTCACCCCCATTCGGAGGGACTAGTTTGGTCCTATGCAGGTCCCCTGCTGTCAGTCCAGAGTCAGTGAGCTCCCACTGGCTCAGATCAGCTGTTTCTGTGGGTTTCCCCATCGTGGTCTTGACCCCTTTGTTCATTTTATCTCAGCCTGCTTTCTAATAGAACTCAGGACCACCCACCCAGGGATGGCACCACCTGTCATGGGCTGGACCCTCCCCCATTGATCACTAAATGAGAAAATGCCTTACAGCTGGATCTCATGGAGACATTTCCTCATCTGAGGCTCCTTCCGCTGATGACTCTAGCTTGTGTCAAGCTGACACACACACACAGTGCAGGAAGGATCTTTACTATCCTCTGAAAATCTTTCTGGGGAAGATATTTACTAGAGCAACTATTCAGCGGATAAAGGTTAATACATTTTCAGTCAAGGACACAAAGGCACAGGCTGTGCATTAACAGATTCAAAAGGACCAAAAATATTCTGGCCCACTGGTTAAGAGTATTTTTTAACAAAAAGTTTTGTGTGTACACGCATGCACGCACTTGTAGGAATGCCAACCGACTGTGTATGGAGGACAGAGGTCGCCTGAGGGTGTCATTCCTCTGTAGCCATTGACCTTGGTCTTTGAGATAGGGTCACAGCCCCAATGATCCTTCAGGCTCTATCCCTCTAGCACTGGGATTCCAGCTGTCCTGTTGTGCCTGGCTTCTTTTGTTTGTTTTGGGGGGTGCTGGAGATCAAATTCATGGTCTCCTATTGGACTGAGTGACCTCAGTAGGTCCTTCCCAACTCCTAGTTCTTCCTTCCTTTCTTCTTTTAAAAAATTTTTGTTTTTAAAGCAGGGGAGCTTGTTTTGGTGGCCAGGTGCAATGGTTGCTCTTGATTGTCATCTAGGTGGTATCTGGGATCAGCTAAGAGGCTTGCCTTTAAAGCAGGGGAGCTTGTTTTGGTGGCCAGGTGCAATGGTTGCTCTCGATTGTCATCTAGGTGGTATCTGGGATCAGCTAAGAGGCTTGCCTCTGGATGAGTCAGTCTATGAGGGCATTTCCAGAAGGGATTAACTGAGGTGAAAGACCCCCGAAGAGGACTTCCCTGGAGAGGAGACTCCCTCGAAGCCAAGGAACAGGCCGAGACCACTCGGATGCAAATAGCAAGAGGTTTATTAGGTGAACACAGGTACCTGCGGGCGGCAAAGTCTTTCGGAGGACTTGCGCGCCTGCAGACTGGGGGAAGGTCTTTTTATAGGAAAGAGGGCGGCCAAGAAATTACAGAAGTAGATGCATGGTTATTG